GAGGGCGAGGGAAAGAGCGGGGGAGAGAAGAAGAGAGAACCTTGATGCTGACTCTTAACTAGTGATGGGGTTATTCAAATCAAATCTTGAGTCAAATCTGAGAGCTCAAATCTGAATATTTGAAGGCAAAAATTTTAATTTCAAATCGGCGGATTTGATTTGAAATCCCGTGGACGAGTTCAAATCAAATCTCGAGGATTTGATTAAGCTTCCGGTCCTTAATCAAATCTTATGGAGATGCCGGCATGCAAAACATAACAAAATCGCTATGGCAGAGCTGGGGCGAACCGGAAATGACCTTGATTATGCATACCATCATACAATTAGCATCCGCGTAATGAGCTATTGATTTTTTTCGACTCCTTTCAAATCCTCGTTCAAATCTTCAGATTTGAACTGAAACCTCGAAAGTCCAAATCAAATCGATTTGATTTGAAGTGCTGAAACCTTATTCAAATCAAACCGGCAGATTTGATTAGGCGGATGCAAATTAGATTTGAGATTTGAATAATACCATCACTACTCTTAACAATCATTTTTAGGGTTGAGCATAACCTTTAAGCACTCGGCCTCATGAAATTTGGAGAATAACATAAATAGCTATTAACGTAGAAGATCCACTAACTCTGTCCATTCTGGCGCTACTATCTTAAAGCGGTATCGGACCAGTTCGCCGAAAACCATCTCGCCGAAAAACCATCTCGCCGAAAACCATTTCGCCGAAAAACCATCTCGCCGAAAACCATCTCGCCGAAAACCATCTTGCCGAAAACCACTTCGCCGAAAACCATTTCGCCGAAAACCATCTCGCCGAAAACCATTTCGCCGAAGACCATCTCGCCGAAAACCATCTCGCCGAAAACTAACTCGCCGAAAATCTAATTTTGTATGCAAATTTTTTTTTCAGGCTTGTTCCATTTTGGTCTAATACTGGAAAAAACACTGATCATGACTGAGTAATCGGTTTTCGGCCTCAAATCATAGGGGAAGTGTCCGGGCACAGAGACCCTGAAAAAAAGCAACTTTCTTTACTTTTTTTTGTGACCTGGGGTATGACCGCAACTACGCGAAAAAATTTGCAAAAAAAAAAAAATTAGATTTTCGGCGAGTTGGTTTTCGGCGAAATGGTTTTCGGCGAGATGGTTTTCGGCAAGATGGTTTTCGGCGAAATGGTTTTCGGCGAGATGGTTTTCGGCGAAATGGTTTTCGGCGAAGTGGTTTTCGGCAAGATGGTTTTCGGCGAGATGGTTTTTCGGCGAAATGGTTTTCGGCGGGATGGTTTTTCGGCGAGATGGTTTTCGGCGAGATGGTCGGAATTCCTTAAAGCGCCTGAAAAACTCATTAGGATGTTCATACCTGAAAAACATTTCATGCTTTCCAGCACCTCGAAAATCCGATTGAATTTTCCAACCCGCCCTCACTTTTGAATCCCAACAAAGGCACACCAACTTTCGGCCCTAAAACCCCATAAAAACCCCCGAAAAAAAGCCGGGGTGAAACGCGGAACCGTGGGCACAATGCAACCTTCGGCCGGGGTGTGCGACCGGTTGCGCGATTTGCATACGGCATACCGTGACGGGGTGATGGGGAAAGGGGGGTTTAGTCATCTTTCCTAAAAGTCATCTTTCCTAAAAGTCATCTTTCCTAAAAGTCATCTTTCCTAAAAGTCATCTTTCCTAAAAGTCATTTTTCCTAAAGTCATCTTTCCTAAAGTCATCTTTCCTAAAAGTCATCTTTCCTAAAAGTCATCTTTCCTAAAAGTCATCTTTCCTAAAAGTCTTTTTCCTAAAAATCAATATTTCTCAGTTGGTTGTTTTGCAAGAAATTTTTTTTGGAGAGGACTGGGCCCTAGAATTTTAAGGTCTCCACGCCGTACTAGATCTTTTCGGGATGTTTTGATTTAAGTTATGCTATCTTTTAATTCATAAAACTATTTAGAAATCAAAAAATAGGATAGGCTCCGATGCGACAAAGAGCTTTTATGAGGACTGACGGCGTGCAAGGCATTTTGCGGTTTCTACACAGGAAGCAGGTTTCAAGTTAGGCGGAGGTGGCATCCCTATTCGCCTACCTAACTTCAGAAAAAATTAATCTTTGAAAAAAATGGTTTTTAGAAAAAAAATGATTGAGGAAAAATAAAAATTTACGATTACCTAGTTTTAGGAAAAATGACTTTTAGGAAAGATGACTTTTAGGAAAAATGACTTTTAGGAAAAATGACTTTTAGGAAAGATGACTTTTAGGAAAGATGACTTTTAGGAAAAATGACTTTTAGGAAAGATGACTTTTAGGAAAGATGACTTTTAGGAAAGATGACTTTAGGAAAGATGACTTTTAGGAAAGATGACTGGGATTCTGGAAAGGGCAAGCCGGAAGGAGACGAAATCGCTTGTGGTTTTGTCGGTATTGCATGACTTTTTGGTGCAGAATTTGCCTTCTACAATTTTTGTTCAATTTTTAGCTATATTCCTCATCAAACTTTAAGAATAGATTCTAGCTTTCAATGCCCTTCGGCTACCGCTCTAAGTTCCAACCTACTCCGAATTGGTGTCTTTTGGTGCCGACTGTACTTCCCCGTCCTCTGAAGTCCCCTTGAAGTGGTACCACCCTGACGGTGATGTTTCAAGTAGGATCTGGGGGATGAGAGGGCGGAAGAATACGAGGAAATACTCGAAGCGGCTTGTGCACTTTTGAGGGTCGAAAGGGCACAAGTCAGCACAGAAACCGCCGCTATTAGATTGCGCTTTGTCTGCCTCTCCTGTCCCTGATGGCAGCTTTTTCAAGAACTTTTTGAATTTGTTGCCATTTCGGTTGGTGTTTCCAAGTATTTTTCAACGACCTTGAGGTTGATTTTGCCAAAAATAGTTTCGAGGAAAATAGGAAACCGACGTATTTTTAGTTTTAGAGTGAGGATTTGAAAATGATTTTTTATTAAACGACCTTGGAAATTCAATCATCCAAAAAAGAAAAAACACGGCTGTATATTTTTGAACTTTATCCAGCCATTATCCTCAAAATGACAAGCTAGCAGCGTCATTTCTAGATGGGTGAGCACCAGTAAGGCTGGCTGAAAACCCTTCTTTTCTTTTCGAAAAACAATAGCCAAGAGCCAGGGGGCTCCACAGAACGAGCAAAATTTCGCGGTAGCTCGTTCTCCGCAGTCCCAGTCCCCGACCCCGATTTCTCTTGCCCAACCTCAAAACATCGCGTCTGACTCATCACCACTGAAACGTTCCCCAGCTGGCCCACCAAATATCGGTGGGTATATAGGGATGTAGCACTTGGATGGCGATCGGCAATGGTCCGGAGTCGGCGGGTTATCACACTCCCACTGTCCCCCCGTCGACATCACTTGACCTTGCTTTTTGCCGTTTTTGAAGTTATCCACTTATCGGCCAGAATCAAATGAAATTCTAGGATATGCAATTTTTTACGTCGGGTTTCTAAAAGCATCTAAAAGGGCATCGATAAATTCCTGGTACTCACGAACTTAGGATCACAAAGGGGTATACGGACACCATCCCGAAAAGACACCATCCCGAAAGACACCATCCCGAAAAGACACCATCCCGAAAAGACACCATCCCGAAAGACACTATCCCGAAAAGACACCATCCCGAAAAGACATGATCCCGAAAAGACACCATCCCGAAAAGACACCATCCCGAAAGACACCATACGGAAAAATGCAATGATTGGCCGGACGTAGAAAAAACGTGCAATTCGCTATGCAAATGTGTTTTTCACATGCAGATTAAGGGTACTTGCTCATTTGCATAGGAAAATAGCTCGTTTTCTACGTCCGGCCAATCATTGCATTTTTCCGTATGGTGTCTTTCGGGATGGTGCTTTTCGGGATCGTGTCTTTTCGGGATCATGTCTTTTCGGGATGGTGTCTTTTCGGGATAGTGTCTTTCGGGATGGTGTCTTTTCGGGATGGTGTCTTTCGGGATGGTGTCTTTTCGAGATGGTGTCCATAATTCTCACAAAGGCGCAGCTTGACCCCCTGGGGGATACACTAGTTGTACCCCGGGATGGCCTGGAAAGAGCTTTCGGCCTAGATGTCCTTTTTGAAGCCAGGCTTGCTCCATTTTCTGGCGGTTGCAGCGATTGTATCGGCTTCTACTATAGCGATGATTTGCGTAGCTTTGGTTCTCTCTATCTCTCGCTCTTTCTCCCTCTCTCTCTCTCTCTCTTTCTCCCTCCCTTTCTTTCTCTCTCTCTCTCTCTTTCTCTCTCTCTCGTTGTCGCCCATCCTCTCCTTTTGTCTATTTCTTTACTTCTACTTTTTAGCGCGTCCCTTCGATGGCATGAAGCCAAAGTGCTGCTCAAAAATTGAGCATCACTTGGAAACGGCACTCGAGTCCAAATCTTTATCTACTAGCTCGCAAGCACTACGAGAATACCTAGCGAAATGGGTAGTTTTTTTATGAAAAACACATACTGATCGTTTCCAGGTGCTCCTGCTCGTTTTCTTTGCGTTTTTCTTGGCCCTCATCTTCATGCCTGAGGAAAAACCGATCGGAAGAAAGGTATTTGCTGGCCTGCAGGCTAATGGGGAAGATGAGCGAGAAAAACAAATTTTCTGATTTTTAGGAGGCCCCCGAAAAGTTCAAGACGTTATCCCAGATGCTTGGAGGACGCGATTAAAAAATAATAAGATAATTTATATCTGGAATTAGCCTTCGAAACTCGCTACTGGTTACCGCTTTCACTTCAAAAATCTCCGCCTTGCTTTATACATTTGGTGCTCTATGCCTAAACGGGTTTTCAAATCCTTTTTTATTCCTGTATGATTCTGATCGTGTAATCGTGTTGATAAAGCTTTAATTGATTTACATATCACGAAAAACTGACCAAAACAAGTCAAATTCAAACGAACAGCCCTTATCATTCAAATCTGATCACACAACAGAGCAAACTACAAATTGGCAATCAGCCGTTTCACGACCCTGCTTTTTGACGACAACTTCTCTGCTTTTACGAGCTTGCAAAATATCATGAGCGGTCAGTTTTATCAGAAATTTGATTGATTTAACGTGATAAGCGTTTTAACGAAATTTTGGGGTTTTTTAAAATAAATGTGATTTTTTGTCTATATTTTTACGCCCAAAATCCAATAGATAATTCAAACATCTTAATTAAACGCCATTAAGTAGGTTCTAAAACGATTTCCCGTCTTTTCTGCGCTCAAAACTTGTTTCAGTAATCACAAAAAATGCCGACGGCGTCTTCCTCATCGGCATCAATCGGGCGGTCAAGAAAAATTGTGTAAATCATCAGACTGCTGTGGAACTTTTGGCGGTAGTGATTAGAAAATGCAAAAATTGTTAATGTATGTATTAGGCGTTTCAACGATTCAATGCCACCCCGGAATTGAAAGTAGCTGTGCTCTATGGAGAAGGTGATCTTCAAAAATTTTGCTGGGTGGAAGTTCTAACGTTTGAATTTACTAAAAAATCATCCTACTTTTGGTTATTTATAAGGTCTTCAGAGATGGGTCCGTTACGGCATTAATACCATCCTAAATTACTCAAGCCCGCCTCAAAAGTCCACTTAGAATCCTGGAAGGCATTCCGGAGTACAACTAGTGCACCCCGCGCGGGGTCAAGCTGCGCCATTGAGATCCTAATTTCGTGCGCACCAGGAAGTCCTCGAAGCCCTTTTAGATGCATTTAAAAACCCGACGAAAAAAATTGCATATCTTAGAATTTCATCTGATTCTGGCCGAGACGCGGATACGGTGAAAAAAACCGCAAAAAGCACGGTCAAGTGATGTCGACGGGGGAATTCAGTGACAGTGATAACCCGCCGACTCCGGACCTTTGCTTATTGCCATCCAATTGCTCCATTCTTATATACCACCTTTTTTTGGAGGACCAGCTAGGGAACGTTTCAGGGGAAATGAGTCGGCATGGGTTTTGTAATATTGCGCGATGGAAATGGGCTGGGGAACGAGGCGACAAAGAACGAGCAACTGAAACATTCTGGTCGTTCCCTGGAGTCCCGCGGATCTCGGCTATTGTTTGCCGAAAAGAATGGGAGAAGCCTTTTGAGTCATCATCCCTAAAACGCTCCCCAGCTGGCCCTCCAAAATTCAGCTGGTATATAAGGATGAAACACTTGAAAGGCAATAAGCAAAGGTCCGGAGCCAGCGGGTTATCACAGGAAAATTGAACAACCCCGTCGGCATTCACTTGACCGTGCTTTTTGCACTTTTGGAGGATATCCACGTTTTTGTGTAGAACTTCCCAAAATTGTGGTCTATGCAAATTAGCTTTTTGGGTTTCGGGAATTTTAGGAATGGGTTTCCTGGAAATCGACGATCGCTTGATTTTGGCATTTTTTAGGACATTTTTTGCAATGTAGGTACGAAACGAGACAAAAAGACTTCCAGGCGGTACTTTTTGCGCTGGTTATGATCTCAGCGAGGTGGCAACTGGAAGTCATGTAAAACCTGATGATACCGCTTTTGAAGAGTTCATCGAAAAGCATCGTTTTATGGTGAGTGGGTTATCTTTACTTCCTTTCTCTCACTCCTCTCTCTCTCTCTGTCTCTCTGTTTCTCTCTCTCTAGCTCGAGTGTTCCTTCTTAGGGCCCAACGAACCTAAAACTCAAGAAGCCACTAATCGCAGCGGTTGAAGGATACGCTGTAGCTGGAGGGCTCGAGTTGTCATTAATGGGTAGGAAAGACTACACTTTTTCAAAGCTACAATTCTATAGCCGATCTTCGTGTCATCGCTGAAGATGCGACACTTGGAGTATTTTGCCGGAGGGTGGGAGTGCCTCTGATCGATGGCGGAACGGTCAGGTTGCCACAGGTAATATCTTTGTATATTAATTAATACTACCTATTTTTAAACAGAAAAAGTTCTACTTTACGTGACGGGTTTTCAATAAGTTACTACGATACAAGGATTTAAACGGACTGGGAAGGCAAAAATCCCGGATCAAAATCTTTTTAGATCGTCGGCTTGGGTCGGACCTTGGATATAATTCTGACCGGAAGAGCTGTAGATGCGGCAGAAGCTCATCAAATCGGGTTGGCAAACCGAGTCGTGAAAAAGGGTGAAGGTGAGGTGTAATTCATTTTTATTTATTTCTAAATTATTTGCTTATTTCGTTTTCGTTTTTCGAGGTTTATTTTGACTGCTACTGTATTTTAGCCGTGAATGTAGCGATCAGCTTGGCCAGAGAAATCATGAAGCATCCAGAGGTTGGTCGGAAGAGAGAGAGAGAGAGAGAGAGAGAGAGAGAGAGAGAGATAGAGATCAACAAGAGAGCGAGAGAGATCAACTGCGTTATTTTCAGCTCTGCATGCTAACCGACAGAAGATCCGTCTTCAATTCGTTGAACGGCTCACATGACGAAGCCATGAAATTTGAATACGAGAAGGGACAAGAAGTTTTAGTGGAAGCGATTCAAGGCAGGGAAACCTAAAATAGCACCAAAGATCGAATTTCAGGAGCCCAAAAGTTCACAAAGCGTGATCGGAGCAAGCTGTAATTTCGAAAAATCTTGCTAATAAATTTATATTTTTGGTAATAATTTATGCAGATGATGTTACATATTATGAAATTATCGATAGGGAGGGCACTCATTGAGCTGACCGAGCTTCAAGCAGTAGTCACTGTTGGCGAGCTAAAAACAACAAAAAATAACACTTGAATATGGAAAATCTCATTTTTTGTGGATAAGATTGCACTTGTTCTAAAAATTCCAAATTTACTAAATTAAATTAGAAGGTACAAAGCTGACACAAGTCCAAAAAACCCACAATGCCAGCCCGATTCGTGCCGCAAATCCACACCCCAGCGTTGAAGCCGCAGCTATTTGCGTAGTAGGGCTGTTGGCAGGTGAGGAAAGTGTTCATCGCTCTAAATTATACGGGATTAACATCGTAAGAAAGTAACTATTAAAATTAAATACTGTAAAGTGCTCTGTATACCGAAAAACATACGGGCAGATGTCACCTCCATGATCAAGGGCATAGTTGAAATTATCGCTGCAGGCCTAAAAATTGCCACGTCGCGCTAAAAAAAACAGAAAGCGAGAGCGAGAGCGCGAGAGAGTGAGAGAGAGACAGAAAGGAAGAGAGAGAGTGGTAGTAAAAAAGATGATACTAGAAAGTTGATTTTAAGGCTTACCTGAAGCGGAACATGGTAGGTGTCGCGCGTCTTCCCGAGGCACTCGAAATCTTGCAACAGGGCTGAAATATTTTTTTCAATACATGGCTTGCGCTCTATCTCTCTCTCTTCTCTCTCTCTCTCTCGCTCTCTCTTTATCTTTTATTCCCTGACTTACTCGCATATCCATCAGTGCATTGGTAATTCCCGACAGCAATATCGGTGATGTAGTCATTAGCTTCTGGAGAGAAAACCACTAAATTTTCATCTTCAGAACTTACCTGTCAAGTTCAATGCAAAGCCCAGGAAGCAGAGTGAATCATATGGTTTCTTGGCGACGCAGGCTGCCAGCTTGACGGCTGCCCTGAAATTTGTTTTTTTTTTCGCGGCGCTTTTTTGCTTGTTTTCCGAGATGCTTTCGCATAAGGTATAAAACGCTATAGAAATGTTAAAGCTTAATTTAGGTGCTCTTATCCCTATCAAATCAAATACCGAGAGAACTACTCACTGGCAAACTTGGGGCTGAATGGCTTTCCCCTGTTCTTGCAGTATACGTCCTCGGGTCTGGTGCACGGCCGTCCAGTAGTCCGGGAAGTGGAATTTGTCTGGAACGTTAGAAGAGCCTAAGCCTAAGCGTAGGCCTAAGCCTAAGCGTAGGCCTAAGCCTAAGCCTAAGTCCTAAGCCTAAGCCTAAGCCTAAGCCTAAGCCTAAGCCTAAGCCTAAGCCTAAGCCTAAGCCTAAGCCTAAGCCTAAGCCTAAGCCTAAGCCTAAGCCTAAGCCTAAGCCTAAGCCTAAGCCTAAGCCTAAGCCTAAGCCTAAGCCTAAGCCTAAGCCTAAGCCTAAGCCTAAGCCTAAGCCTAAGCCTAAGCCTAATCCAGGGCATCGTCAGCCTACCAGTGGTTTTGATCTTGTAAAAGTTGAAGAAATCCTGATAGCAGTCTGCTAGACTTTCCAACTGCTCCTTGCCGCAGAAGCCCTGGACGCTGGCGAGGAGCAGAACTAAAACTGTAGGGATTTTAGCTTTTCCCGTTTCAAAGAGAGGGAAAGAGGGAGAGAGAGAGGAGAGATCGAGAGAGAGAGAGAGCGAGAGGTAGAGAGGAAGAGGATGTGCCTTTATTCGCCATTTAAAGCCCTTCTCGAAGTTGCCTTACTTACCTGTTACCACAAATTTCAGCATACCCGATTATCAGTGGCGTCAAATGCATATCGATGCCGAAATCTGCGCTTTTATACGCGAGTGTCCTTATCAGCTTTCCACGAAACGAACACTTTTTTCGAAACTTCAAGACTACTTTTTACAAAATTCGACTACATCATGGCGTGCGCCTGCGTCGCGTCATTAATTTTAACCAGGCATATTTGAAGGAGTTCCACTCATTTTTCTGGCCGTTTCTATGCAAGTCGCCTCTTTTCCGTAACCACATAAGTTTTTCTCCCATCACGTCGCACTCTTCGGTCCTTTACGCCGTTTTTTTCTGTGCCTTTATCAGGCAGTTTTTCCCCGTCAATCACCCGTTTTTTCGGAAGTGCCACAGCACGATTGGGCGCAAGCTGCACGCCGTTGCTGAGTGATCAGTTCTCAGTGATCGGGATCAAGATCCGGGTCTCTCTCTTTCTCGCTACCTCTCTCTCTCTTTCTCTCTCTCTTTCTCTCTCTCTCTCTCTCTCTCTCTCTCTCTCTCTCTCTCTCGCTTTATCGCTCTCTTTCTTTCACTCGCTCTCGGTCTCTCGCTCGCTTTCTTTCTCTCTCGGGTCAATCACGACACCCTAGGTTTTCAACGGTTTAATTCTGCTGTCTCCAATTGAAAAATTTAATTTATTACCCGCATCAATACTTCGTGAGATCAGAATAGACAAAAACAGTAAAACAAAGGAATAAACACTAATTTCTACCGCTTTGTGACGATTAAAATATACATTGGGCACTTGGTCAAGTCCAAAA